TAAATATGTAATTTTGTCAAAGACATTCATACTTTAATCTTCCATAGGAAAATAAATATGCATTTCAAAACTAAAATTGAGTTTAAAGATAATGTACAACCTCAAATATCACCACTCCTCAAAGTAGGAACAAAACAAATACAAATCATAGATAAGAATTAACTACTGGAATGCTATTCAAAAGGTCCAAAAAAAAATCGTAGTCACATAACTGTTAACTCAGGACCAGAGTTAATTCCAAGCCCACTACAGAATTTCCCAAAAGTGATTTCGTTTCTGAATAAAATAACCCCCCCAATATTAGGAAATCATATGAATAAAAAGAATTTTTAAATTTAGTCATTCTGATGATTTGTGCTAATTCATAGAACAGTCAGAAAATCAAATAATGTAATGATCATTTATCAAATGTAACCCATTAGGGGAGAAAATAATGAATGTGAATATAATTATAGTACTTCCTCGAATGTTTTAGAAGAGAGAAGAAAAAGGGCAAAGAGAAGAAAATGTGATGAGGGAGAAAAAAATGAGCAAATATGCTTTACATAATAAAAGTTAATTTACTATTTTTCATTATGTAATAAAATTTTTCAAGCACATACCCAGCTGACAGAACAGTTTGGTAAGAAATTTTTAAAAGATGTTGAAATTTCCAAGTGAGAAGAAGTAAATCTCCTTAGATTCTTACGATATTCATTTTACCAAAATGGTTCAAGAAATTTCTCCAGAGAAAATGAAAAATTTCATACATTAAAATCTAGTCAATCCATTCTATGGTCAAAATCAACCTGAGGTGAAGAACTTAAGTTATACTTGAAATTTCTATTTTCACTTTTAAACAATGTTTCTACAAAACTAATGACCTGTTTTTGTTTTTTTCATGACCTAAACCTATGTTTTATTTTTTTCTTTTTTAGACAGAGTCTCACTCTGTTGCCAGGTGCCAGGCACCAGGCTGGAGTGTAGTGGCGCCATCTCAGCTCACAGCAACTTCCACCTCCCGGGTTCAAGCAATTCTCCTGCCTCAGTCTCCTGAGTAGCTGAGACTACAGGCACGTGCCACCATGCCCAGCTAATTTTTGTATTTTTTTAGTAGCCACAGGATTTCACTATGTTGGCCAGGATAGTCTCGATCCCTTGACCTTGGGATCCTCCCACCTCGGCTTCTATAAGGATGTTTTTAATAAAATATGACCAGCAACTCCTTTTATTGTCCTCACTCATGTAGGTTGTGTTCCCCTTGGTGGGAGTATTCAGGGTAGAAGTGAAAAGTCGCATGTCCAGAAATCCATAATGTGTTCTTTGAAAACAATTTATAATGCAACCTTTATGAGACTGAATTCTATTTGCTTGTAATCCTTTACTTCAAGCATCAAGGTGAGGCAAATTCTTTTCCCTGAGAGTTAAGAAGCTGTAAAGTGACTGAATGGCTTCCTCCTATCCTAGGGCATAAACTCATTAAAGAGACCTACACGGCATGATGATTATGGGTCCTTGCTTATCTCTTCAGCTTCATTTCTTGATGCTTTCCCTCTAGCATGCTGTGCTTTTGCCTCACTGAATTTCTGAGATGTATCCTGTCTTTCCGCGTTGAACAACCACAGCTGTCCTTTCTGGGGCTAGAATAATTTTCCTGCTATCCCTGGACTCTATCACCACTGCATCTTACATGTACTCATGCAGGACAGACATTCCCTTGTCAGCTCTTCCTCATAGGGCATGAGTGTCCAGTCTTTTGGTTTCTCAGGACAACACTGGAAGAAGAATTGTCTTGAGTCACATATACAATACACTAACACTAAGGATAGCTGACAAGTTAAAAAGAGAAATTGCCAAAAAATCTGATAATATTTTAAGACAGTTTACGAATTTGTGTTGGGCCTCATTTAAAGTCATCTTGGGCTGCATGTGGCCCACAGGCTGCAGGTTGGACAAGAGTTTGTTCTAGGGCATCATCAACTGGCAGAGCTCTTCTCAGGGACACCTTCCTGACTCTTAGGACCACTGCAACATAGTACGTTAGCCACTTGCTGAGGAGAGTCCTGCCATACTGACAGCTAATTAATTACAGTTATTTCACTCTCTTCTGTATTTCCAAATATTAACTAGAAATTATTTATACAAATTTCTGCTAATATTTGTCCTTATCCTATTTTAAGAACACTATTGATAAGTGCATTGATTTTCAAGTCTCAGAATTGTGATAAATACCAAGGCTAGATTTTTTTTTCAACCACAACTACAACTCTCCACATTATATGTTCCAAGATTGCTTCATACATTATCATAAAGTTAGCAAACACTTTAAAGAAGAATTACACCAGGAGTTATATTCATGGGTCTCACTCACCTTAGATAAATATTACCTTTCAGGATAATTAAGGTTAAAAATATCTTAGTACTTCAGAGACCATAAAAAGTAATACCAGAAACTGTTTCTTAAGGAATCAGTTTTCAGAATTTTACATTAAAAAGTTTCAGAGGCCCATGTGCCACTAAAAGTAACTGGAAATTCTAATATAATTCTCATACAATAAACACATGGTTGCAAAGGTGAAACATTAAAGCATAAAGTCATATAGCACTACTGAATTTTTTTATTAGAGCTAAAAACGTGAGGATACAAAATACATTTTAAAAAGCACAGTGTTCTTCTAGCCTAAAGAAAGCATATCTACACTGACTTTGTTATTTTAGCAAATTAAGATTTTGATAAGAGTAACTAAGCTATAAAGAGTTCTTCTAAGTAGAATATGTTATATTTATCTCTCTTCCAATGAAATCAAAGACCAAGTTTCATGTGCCTTTGTTTCTACTCCTAACAAAATCGGGAGAAACTTGGAACACTTGTGCATTGCTAGTGGGAAGGTAAAATGGTACAGCTGCTGTGAAAAATGATATGGTTAGTCCTCAAAAAATTAAACAGAGAAATACAATAGGTTCTAAAATTTACACTTCTGGGTACACATCTGAAGAAATAAAAGTAGAACTCAAACAATACCTGTACACCCATGTTCGTAGCAACATTATTCAAAATATCTATTGATACTACAAAATGTAGTATATAATGCAATAGAAAATGATTCAGCCTAAGAAAGGAAAGAAATTCCGACACATGATGCACTGTGTATGAACCTTGAAAACATGCTGAGATAAGCCAGTCACAAAAGAACAAATATTCTATGATTCTGCGTATATGAGGCACCTAGAGAAGTCAAATTCATGAAGGCAGAAAGTAGAATGGTGGTTTCCAGGGCATCAAGGCAAAGACAAACAGACAATTAGTGTTTAATAAGGAAGAGTTTCAGTTTGGGAAGATGAAAAAGCCCTGGAGATGGAAAAGTGATGATGGTTACACAGCAATGTGATTGTGATGAATGCCACCAAACTATAAACTTAAAAATGGTAAAATTTATGTTATGCATATTTTACAAAATATAAATTTATAGATAATAATTTTTAATTATTTTCATTATTTAAAATGAAAATAGACTACTTAGAACTTGGAGATAAGGAGGGGAACAACACACACAGGGTATGTCGGGCAGTGGTGGGGTATGGGGAGGGGAGGGAGAACGCAAGGACAAATAGCTAATGCATGCAGGGCTTAAAACCTAGGTGTGGGTGGATAGGTGCAGCAAACCACCATGACACACATATAACTGTGTAACAAACCCAAACCTAGATAGCAGGTTGATAAGTGCAGCAAACCACTATGGCACACGTATACCTACACAACAAACCCAAACTTAAAAGTTTTGGTATACAGAAAAAATATAAAAATATAAAAATTCAACATGTGTTATTTAAAATGACAGATTAAGAACTATTCAACAGATAGAAAAAATAATTTTGTAAAATATATTTCAGTTGTCTAATAAATAATGTTATGTACTAAGTTGTGTCCCCTTAAAATTCATATATACTAGTTCTAATATCCACTGTAACTTTATTTGGAGATAAGGCCTTGAAGAAAGTAATTAAGATTAAATGAGGTCATAAAGGTAGGATCCTAATCCAATATGACACCAGGGATGCATTAGTACAGAAGAAAGACAATGTGGCCAGGTGCAGTGGCTCACACCTGTAATCCCAGCACTTTGGAAAGCCAAGGTGAGCAGATGACCTGAAGTCAGGAGTTCAAGACCAGCCTATCCAACAGGATGAAACTCTCTCTCAACTAAAAATACAAAAATTTGCCAGGTGTGGTGGCAGGCATTTGTAATAGCAGTTACTTAGAAGGCTGAGGCATGAGGATCACTTGAACCCGGCAGGTGGAGGTTGCAATGAGCTGAGATCACACCATTACATGACAGACATATTCACATGCAGAACAGAACATGTGAGAGATGCAAGAAACCCAGACTTACTTAAACACAGTAAGAAATACAATGTTGTAAAATAGCGTTATGTGACCTTTTAAGAAACTGTAGCTAAAGATGACCGAATAATATGAGTTTCTTTTACTATTCACATGTATGTATTAGGACTTGCTTTAACAAACAGATGAATTTAAAGTACCAAGTCTACTTTTAGATCACAGTTTGTCATGCCCTGGATTAGAGTCTTCATTCAGAAAACCATCAACATGTGATCCTAAAACTGCCCTTGGCTTTTTTAATCCTTCCATTATTAAGCCTATAACAGATGTCTACATTCTGCCCTGGCCTTCATTATGTTTTCTTGATAGTCTATGTACCATTACAAACATAGTTGATGTACTAACACATTTGGGGCAAACCATGTGATGATAACTTTGACTAATGCTTTTCAAATAAAAAAAATGACACGCATATTGTGGGTTAGGGTGATCAGCACGATTTAAGCAAGACAAAAGAACAGAACTAAAGCAATGCTTCAGAAAAAAAGAATGTCAATGGAGAAGTATCTTAGGACTGAAATAGGTCCATAGTAAAATCTCAAGTGCTTTCATTAAAATTAACCAATAATTTATGGAAAAATGGTAATTCCACTCTATGTATAGTTTTATAAATACTTACATTATAATAATGCCGAAATATTGATGATGATTGAGAGAAACTAACTTGACCGGAGTCACAAGCCAAACGGAAAGACCTTGTCGGCACAAATCCTCTCCAGTCAGAGAACACATTGTCTGTTAGAAATATCAACGTAGATTAAACAATATTTATCCAGGAAAACTACACACTGATTATATTGCTTAATGTTGCAAAGAGTAAAGCAAATCACCTTTATGGGCTCACTGTTCTGTACTAAAATCACATCTTGTCATCTAATCGGAGAGAAATGAAGAAGTGATAGGATTGCATAGAGAGAGGCTTCAATTAATTGGCTCCTTCATAAGGTAAGGCTCTCATGTTTTTATTGCATAGTATGCCCATCAAAAAACTAATAGGTTCGTTGTCTTCACTGTGCTCTCCTGAAGAACATCAACATCTTTTTTTTAAAGAAATCTTAAAGCAAAATCATATTTGTGAATAGCAATTATAAAAATAAAAGGAAAACCTCTCTGTGTTACATACTTTAAAAGAAAATTCAGTATTGTTATAAGGCACAAGTTTTGAAATTGCCAGGTAAATTAAGTTATTAAAAGTGTTTAAATGGCCGGGCATGGTGGCTCAAGCCTGTAATCCCAGCACTTTGGGAGGCCAAGGTGGGTGGATCACAAGGTCGAGAGATCGAGACCATCCTGGTCAACATGGTGAAACCCCGTCTCTACTAAAAATACAAAAAATTAGCTGGGCATGGTGGCGCGTGCCTATAATCCCAGCTACTCAGGAGGCTGAGGCAGGAGAATTGCCTGAACCCAGGAGGCGGAGGTTGCGGTGAGCCGAGATCGCGCCATTGCACTCCAGCCTGGGTAACAAGAGTGAAACTCCGTCTCAAAAAAAAAGTGTTTAAGGTAAATAGGTTGAAAGCACAAAAGGTGAGCCAGCATCACCCCATATTTCTTCTGTCTCATGACAGTTGGTACACAAGATTTCTACAGGAACCTTTTTTCATTAATCATGGAAAGGAGATTTAGGATTTATTTGTCCATTTACTTCTCAGAGATATTAATCATTTAAAAAGAAGAAAATTCAGTTCAATCCTGTCATCCAAATGAATCAAACTATTGTCACATTTCCAATTTGCCTTCATATCTACACACACACACACACACACACACACACGTGTATAATATGGGTATAGGTGATAATGTGTACATATGTTCATATACATGTATGTGTATATATACATAGTCTTTCCTGAAACTTTCAATTTAATAAAGTCATCCATGGACTGCTTAGTTTTATATAAATTTATAGAAAACTCAAAAGTAAGAAATTCTCTCACTTCATTGCTTCAATTTATTTACAGGATCATAAAGTTGAGTGGTTTATGGGGAGGCAATGAAATAACATAAAATAATGAAAAGGTAATGTTATCTCAGAGACATCCTAATCAGTACATACACATTCTACCTCATTTTAATTTTATATCTATTTCTTCCATTTCAGTTGAGAGTTTGTGCCCTCTTTCGAAAAGGCAAAATCTCTAGAGTAAGCAACACAATCATATTTCAATCACAATTCAATGTGAATCTATGAAATTCTTTAATGAAAGCAAATGCCAATAATGAGTAACTTACAGAGAATCTGAGCATTTTAGTACCTAAGAAGAAGATAACAAGGGAAAGGCCATGCCCTTTATACTTTCATTTGGTAGCTTTATAAGGCCAAGGGAGTATAAAAGAGTAACACAAGAGTTATTAAGATGTGTACACCCTTACATTTTTTATAATGCCCTCTTAACTCAAAGTATTCTCCAATTGATCAGCACTATTCCTACTCTACCCACTCTTCTTAATGCACTACTACATACAGTAAGTGACATCTCATAAATATTTTACATAATTGTGCTTCTCTTTCTAATCTCCGTTTTGAATATATAAACTCTTCCAAGGCAAGGATTATACTTACTTGGAACTGCTCTGTGTTTCTGATTCATTAGCAATGTGAACAAGGTAGCTATGTAAACACCAGTAAATAAGGAGGATATTGAACATTTCCAACATAAAGAGATGACAAATGTCTGAGATAATGAATATGTTAACTACTCTGATCTGATCACTAAGCATTATATTTATAAAAACACCACTCTGTACCTCCATAAATGTGTAGAATTATTATGTGCCAATTTAAAAAATAAAATTAAATAAATAAAATTCCTCTGTAATTAAAAAATAATCATAATTGGTCTGAAGAGGTTAAATCTTATAGGCAAGGAGGATATCTTCTTGATCATTGAAGAGCACAACTCAATATAAAACTAAAATCTATGTAACTTATTTTTCTAGTAGACTCCAGAGCATTTTCAAATATTTTATCTTGTTTACTCACAAAACAGACTCACAGAATTGAAAACACAATGCATTATTTTCTCCCAGTACATAGGTATCATTCTAGAAAATATAGCTATAACTTTTCTGCTTCAGGAAGCAGTAAAGCCTCCACTAAAATCCTCGAGGTAATCATTCACACACTGATATATGCTAATCACTCTTCCTTAGAAGCCAGGCACAGACAGTGACATGCAACAAATTCCAGTTTATTCCACAAAGTCGGTGGAAAGTTATAAGCTAATAGTTTGATGAAGACCAAAGTCATTAATCAGACTAAATCTTCACAAACCCTTTCAAGAGTCAACAATCTTCACAGATAATGCCACATAGAAATAAAAGCTCTGAATCCCAAGTGTGTGTGTGTGTGTGTGTGTGTGTGTGTGTGCATGCATGTGTGTGTACACATATGCACAAGAGCAGACTGTATACTGACAAGTGGAAGAGAAATCTTATCAGTAATCCCAGTCATCAGTCAGCAGAACAGAACAAAGTATTGTAAACAAATCTGAGGAAAATGCTGTTATCAAGATCAAGATTTGAAAAGAAACCAAAATGGTCACATCAGTTTAACAAGAAGTTAAAAAGTAGCAATCCTTGAATATAAAAAAAATTTTTTAAATAAGTACTCATACTGATACCTTTCTGACTTTGTGTTTGTTCAGTATTTTAGACTATCATCAAAAAACATTAATTCATGTTAGTGTGTTGTCTTTCTGCATATCTAATTTGCATATCTAGACTTAAAAGTCTTTCACTTGGTTTGTATGTGTCATAAAACCAAGTCTTTCACTTGGTTTGTATGTGAATATATAATGGTGTGCCCTGTGTGTGTGTGTGTGTGTGTGTGTGTGTGTGCACGTGCACATTCCTGAATTAGAACCAAATTTGGCATTGATTACAAGGCTAACCAACAAAACTGTAAGAGTGAAAGGTCCCACAGAATTCAACTGAAATAAATACATGAAGGAAAAGAAAATCCTTAAAAACAGGTTTAATTCTGGTTTTTAGATATTTTTCACCAGACCATCTCCCCTCACTTTCTAGCATCATGTTGATGTTTATAATGGTAATAATTTTTCAATTTTATTTTGTTTTTATTCAAATTTATGTAGTTAACAATTAGCCAATTATTTACAGAGGTGGGAGACATTTCCAAAACATAATAAGCAGTTGTTATATTTTAGTGGCTTAAATTATACAAATGACTCACAGAAAATTGAAAAGATCATCTATCACAGGTGATAGTGTCAGGGAATGAGAAAAGAAACAAGGGAAAGAAAAAGGAAAGAAAGAAAAGGGAAAGAAAAGTTCTTAGGTAGTGAAGACATTCCCTACAGCTATAATTTTTGCAGTGATAAATAATATCTTCATATCTCAAGTCACTACATTTGTTCAATTGACCTAGATTTCAGCAAAAGACCCAAAAGGAATAGCAGTTCATAGTTTAAAAATACACTGTTTTAGTCAACTTAGAAACCATAGACTCTTAAGAAACAGTATGTACATCTGCCTTCCACAGAGTAGAAGGAAGTTCAAATGAAAATGTATCTTTATTAGGATATGATGAAACCAAAGACATTACTGGGTTTAGTGGTCCTGTGTCCCTAGAGCCTCTTTTATGCCAAACTCATTCTGTTTCCCTTTTATCAATTCTCTTGTATCAATTAATTCTTTGAGTTAATTGCACATGCAGTTTTAATCTGTAGGTAATTACAAACAATTAATAGTTAGGAGACAGAATTAGCAGTTCTTAGTTTGATTATCTATATAATTAAAAGGGGTGGTAAACTAGAGTTGACAAATAGCATCTTAATCATTTGAATAATCAAACCCCAGAAGTCTGCTTGGGTGGCTGAATTCCATCTGTTACGTTAGTTTAAATTTTAGAATTAATGACTGAAATGTCCATTTAAATCAATTCATATGTGTTGAAATTACAGTACAAAATTAACAAGGCATATATTCTAAAATTAAACTACCTTCTTTTGTTTGCTTATAATAAGCTGTTTGAAAAAGGATTCAATAAAAACAAAGATTTGTAAGGGAATAAAAGTAATATATTTTCCTCATTGGAAGTTCATGGAGGTAACATCCCTATATCAAAGACTGATTAACGAGAGAAAAGTATAAGAAGCTAATTTATCAAAGTTTTGTGTAGCATGGGAGAATTCAGAAAGGAAGACCCAAAGACTCAGGGAAAATTTTTTTTATGAAGAATGGACAGTCATGTAGAAGTATGATTAGACAAAAATGGGGTATGACCTTATGAGAGTAAACTAGGGAAACCTCAGCAAGGCCTATTTCTTCAGATTCTTCTTGGCTTCTAGGCATGGGGCAGGACATTTGTCAGAAGAGAGTCTTTAGGAGGGAAGGGAGGAAGTCAGGGGTGAATTTCCTGGGTTTTATGGCTAGCTTTGGAGGAGAGGAATTCTAGTTTCTATGTCCAACTTCTAGGGAGAAAAATTCAGACAGGGCTTCCTGATTCTACTGTCCTCCCAATCCTTGCAGCCCAAAATACTCAGCATGCCAGGGCATCACATTTTTGGGATATGTTCTGAGTCCTGAAAGATTCAATAGGCTAAATTATGGATATCTAGTGAATGCCAGTTAATAATCATGGATGTCAATTTATTTTATAGTATTTCTAAGATATATGGATAGTTCTTTTTGTAGTAAGTTCTGTTTAATATTTTGTGTTTAACACTTTGTGTGTTAATACTGAGTGTGGACTTGATTGGATTGAAGGATAC